ATAATGTTTTATTTATAAGTCTATTTTTATTTAAAGTTTATTATTTTTCAAATTTGTAATGAAAAATACCAAAATGGTGTGACAAAATAGTGATACCGTAATATTAAAAGATTACCATATTCATATACCATCATGCATGGTATTTTACAGTAATTTAAAGAATGGTAGATATTGCTATGGTGTACTGTCTGTATGTCTAGCAGATTTTGGTGTAACCGTAGTACAGTACGTAGTAAGATCCCATGTTCTGATTTAATACTGGTAAAAAATGTATAGCCTGAATGCACTGTAAGTCTCTTTGGATAAAAGCGTCTGCTAAATGCATAAATTATTATAAATGATTAAATTATTAATTCATTGTGGTTTTACAGTAGTAACACAAAGCCAAAACAATGGTTGATGTGAAAAATGTAGCTGTCATTGTCATCATCATCATCGTCTAACTATTAATGGTTACTCATATCTGTAATAACATTTAATAATGCAAGTGATATTCTCCATATGATGGCCTGGTTTTGTGTGCTTTCAGGAGGGCAGAAGCCTGACCATCAAGCTCAGGAAAAGGAAGACGGAGAAGAAAGTGGAGTGGTCCAGTGACACGGTGGACAATGAGCATCTGGGCCGGAGGTCTTCAAAGTGTGAGGCTTGTTTTGTTAGTGTAGCTCTGAATCCATTATGGATGGTCATTCAGTTTGGATATTCATCGAGGATTTCTTATGTAAAATGAGAATCTGCTTCATACTTGAAAACTGTGCAGGACAGCTCTGCATCTGGGCCAGATTTTAAATAGCTGGTTTTAAATGACCTGCGTCTGCTCAAAGCGGCCTGTTGAATGCTTCGTTTCTTTAAATAGAACGTCCTCAGCTTATTAGTTTTTTTCCGCCGCCACGTTCTTCTAAAATCGCTTTGATGTGTTCAGGTTGCTGTATTTATGAGAAGCCTCGACAGTTCGGCGAGTCTTCCTCGGAAAGCGAGGGGGATGACGAGGAAGGCTGCGGAAGCGCGCACTGCATTCTGGGACACGGGAGAAGAGACCATGGACAGAGGGAGGGTGGAGGGGGCACAGCGCCCCCTAGCTCTGGGGGAACAAACCCTCACTAGAAGTTGAGGCGAGTGGGAGAGTCGGTTTGGAGGGAAGGGTAACGGACGGCGTGGGCACTACATTCATAATCCCTCATCCTCACTCACACTCAATTACATCACACCATCACTGGGTGTCAAAAGCTTTTTGATGAATGAAAGCTTGTAGAGCAATGCAATGTGATTCGTTTTCTCCTCTGTCATTAGTTTGATGACCAGGAGAAGACTTTTTTGCGATCTGAATGCTGCAGAAAATTAGTTGTACATAGGACATTGGTTTTTATTTCTTTTGTTAAATCCATATTTATTTGTTTGCGTTTAACAACTTGATCTTATCAGTTTTGTCCACAAACAATATTAACAATAACCTTAAAATATGATTCAGGAGGGTTATAGCTTCTAGTTCGAATCAAGTGGATTTAAAAGGAATAAATGCAGTATAAAAAAGGAATATTATATCAAATATAATTTGCCTTGCGGTGTCACAATTCTAGCAGCAGTATTTCTTCATATCACTTGAGGAACTTCAAGCGTAATATGTGTTGTGTGCTATAGTGAATTTAAAACGTGACAAGGTTCAGGAACTCAACCCTTTGGATATTTTTACAAGGGTGCATTAAACCATCTCCATCAGCCGTGAATGCTTGATTGAGTTATGGTGAGACTCCCCTCAGACAATCGGACTAGTCAGAGACTCGGCATGTACGTGCAAAGACATCGATGTGTTTATAACTTAGTGAAGTGGACTGAGAAACATCCGTGATGCTTTACTTCATTCTGAATGCGAGTTGAGAACGTCAGCTTGATCATTACACAAAACTGACCGAAAATAAACAGCAGCAGTGAAATTAAAGAAATGGTTCAACCACATATTAATATTTGCTGAAAATGTACTCTCCCTTTAGGCCATCCAAGATGTAGATGATGTATATGTTCATCAGAAATTTAGCATTACATCACTTGCTCACCAATGGGTCCTCTGCAGTGAATGGGCATCTGGGCCGGAGGTCTTCAAAGTGTGAGGCTTGTTTTGTTAGTGTAGCTCTGAATCCATTATGGATGGTCATTCAGTTTGGATATTCATCGAGGATTTCTTATGTAAAATGAGAATCTGCTTCATACTTGAAAACTGTGCAGGACAGCTCTGCATCTGGGCCAGATTTTAAATAGCTGGTTTTAAATGACCTGCGTCTGCTCAAAGCGGCCTGTTGAATGCTTCGTTTCTTTAAATAGAACGTCCTCAGCTTATTAGTTTTTTTCCGCCGCCACGTTCTTCTAAAATCGCTTTGATGTGTTCAGGTTGCTGTATTTATGAGAAGCCTCGACAGTTCGGCGAGTCTTCCTCGGAAAGCGAGGGGGATGACGAGGAAGGCTGCGGAAGCGCGCACTGCATTCTGGGACACGGGAGAAGAGACCATGGACAGAGGGAGGGTGGAGGGGGCACAGCGCCCCCTAGCTCTGGGGGAACAAACCCTCACTAGAAGTTGAGGCGAGTGGGAGAGTCGGTTTGGAGGGAAGGGTAACGGACGGCGTGGGCACTACATTCATAATCCCTCATCCTCACTCACACTCAATTACATCACACCATCACTGGGTGTCAAAAGCTTTTTGATGAATGAAAGCTTGTAGAGCAATGCAATGTGATTCGTTTTCTCCTCTGTCATTAGTTTGATGACCAGGAGAAGACTTTTTTGCGATCTGAATGCTGCAGAAAATTAGTTGTACATAGGACATTGGTTTTTATTCCTTTTGTAAAATCTATATTTATTTGTTTGCGTTTAACCACTTGATCTTACCAGTTTTGTGTCCACAAGCAACATTTTAATGGATTTAAACCTTCAAATATGATTCAGCAGGGTTATAGCTTCTAGTTCGAATCAAACGGATTTAAAAGGACTAAATGCAGTATAAAAAAAATAATTTTCTATCAAATATAATTTGCCTTGCGGTGTCACAATTCTAGCAGCAGTATTTCTTCATATCACTTGAGGAACTTCAAGCGTAGTATGTGTTGTGTGCTATAGTGTATTTAAAACATGGCAGGTTTCAGGAACTCAACCCTTTGGATATTTTTACAAGGGTGCATTAAACCATCTCCATCAGCCGTGAATGCTTGATTGAGTTATGGTGAGACTCCCCTCAGACAATCGGACTAGTCAGAGACTCGGCATGTACGTGCAAAGACATCGATGTGTTTATAACTTAGTGAAGTGGACTGAGAAACATCCGTGATGCTTTACTTCATTCTGAATGCGAGTTGAGAACGTCAGCTTGATCATTACACAAAACTGACCGAAAATAAACAGCAGCAGTGAAATTAAAGAAATGGTTCAACCACATATTAATATTTGCTGAAAATGTACTCTCCCTTTAGGCCATCCAAGATGTAGATGATGTATATGTTCATCAGAAATTTAGCATTACATCACTTGCTCACCAATGGGTCCTCTGCAGTGAATGGGTGCCGTCAGAATGAGAGTCCAAACAGCTGATAAAAACACCACAATAATTCCCACGACTCCAGTCTATCAATTAATGTCTTGTGAAGTGAAAAGCTGTGTGTTTGTAAGAAACAAAATCCATAATTAAGACTTTTTTAACTTCTAACCACTGCTTGCGGCTAAAATTTGAGGCCATAATCCATAATGTTGCTTTCTCCAGTGAAAAAGTCATCTTGTCTGAATCAGGAGAGAAATATGCACAGATCAAGCACCGTTTACAAGCAAAAACAGTTCTAAATGAATATGTTGGTGGATTTTGATGAGAGCGGACAACAGGAGATGGACCTTTTCCACTGGAGAAAGTGTTCTTTTGGATTATGGTATTTTGGCCAGACGTGACAGTTTCAAGTTATAGCACTGACTAATGATGGATTTGTTTCTTAGAAATGTGTAGCTTTTCACTTCACAAGACAGTAACTGATGGACTGGAGTGGTGTGGATTACTTGTGGATTATTGTGATGTTTTTATCAGCTGTTTGGACTCTCATTCTGACGGCACCCATTCACTGCAGAGGATCTAATAGTGAGCAAGTGATGTGATGCTACATTTCTCCAAATCTGTTCAGATGAAGAAACAAACTCCTCTACATCTTGGATAGCCTGAGAGTGAGTAAAGTTTCAGCAAATTTTCAGTGCAATTGATCTGAAAATGTGTAGATTTCGAATATTTTCCTTTCATTTGCATGCCTTACATGAAATACAGGGAAAATGTTTTGTGTGAGATATAGAGGATCACCCTGTGACATGTAAGGAGTTCCATCTCATCCTGGGCAATATGGCTGCTTTTATTTGGCAGCAATTGGTAAAAAATCCTGCTAAAAGTGGGAGAGGTGCATGCCGTCAGGATGGTGTGTAGTAGTTTGACTTGAGCTTTAAGGTGTAAATGGATTATATGTGGTATAAAGAGCACGGGAGAGTGCATGGCTGAATGCTGGCCAAGACCAAACGCACATAGCATCATATCTCCTCTGATGTCACATACAGTTTACAGTTGATCCCCATCAGGACCGTCACTGCAGTCATCAGCATCCCAGCATTCACATGCATCTGTCGTCCCTTTACTGTGGATGCACCTGTATGTACAGAGCAAAGGTCATAGAATGGATTTAACATGAATAAACAGATGTTAAATGATGTTGTTTATATCTATTAAATGCTTAATGGCAACCTGATTGTGTTTGACTCTCATCCTGATTCTGTTCAGTCCTTATGAAATGTGCATTTATATAATGATTCATGTGATGCATTATTAAGAGTTCAGAAGCTAAAACGTTTTAGATCAGTCATGTGGAAAGTGAGTCATAATTTAAAAATATACAGTAGCAGCATAGAATGGAGATGTGGATCAGTGGTGTTATTAACTAAAACAATGTTTGTTAATTGACCAGCATTCACATGCATCTGTCGTCCCTTTACTGTGGATGCACCTGTATGTACAGAGCAAAGGTCATAGAATGGATTTAACATGAATAAACAGATGTTAAATGATGTTGTTTATATCTATTAAATGCTTAATGGCAACCTGATTGTGTTTGACTCTCATCCTGATTCTGTTCAGTCCTTATGAAATGTGCCTTTATATAATGATTCATGTGATGCATTATTAAGAGTTCAGAAGCTAAAACGTTTTAGATCAGTCATGTGGAAAGTGAGTCATAATTTAAAAATATACAGTAGCAGCATAGAATGGAGATGTGGATCAGTGGTGTTATTAACTAAAACAATGTTTGTTAATTGAAATAAAGCTGAAATAAAATAACTATTAAAATACAAAAACAAAAATTAGATTTAAACTTAAAGTTGGCAATTAACTGAAATTGCTAATTGCAATACTTAAAAGCATTCAAATTGCTTAATTTGAAATGCTAAAATGACTAAAACTCAGATAAAAATGAAAACTAAATAGATTTAGAAAAAAAGTAAAAATGACGATATCTCATTACTGAAACTAAAATTTAAATGAAAATTCTAAATCGAAAGCCAATTCAACAAAATAAATAATTCTAAAATAACACTACTGTGGATTATTGGTTGGTGCAGTTGAACTAAGGTAAATAATTTAAGATAATAAACATAATATTACAAATAGAAAGGAACTAAATTGTTCCTGTTCTTTCCAGACCTGGAAAAGGGATAGAAATTAATAAAATCTTAAAATGTAATGGAAATTTCTATAGTGAAAATATTTTTCTTTGGTCTGCTCAACTCTAAAATATTGTTATATAGAATTTGCTCTAAGAGTAATAAAATCACACACAAACACATGTGTGTATATATATATATATAGTAAATATATTTGAAATACAAACAACTGGAAAAATAACTCATTGTTCAAAAAGCGTGAAAACCCTGATAAAGTCCATTATAAAGCTTAATATTTAAAAATCCATCTTTGGAGGTTGCATGAACATTTTTAATTTTACTAATAACCACGGTGTCATGACAGCAAATTTTAGTTAGAGCCGAGATATAGAAGTTTCCGCAAACATCCATACAACCAATATTCATATCGCCATGACACAAAAATGGACACGGTGGTTAAACAAAGTAAAATAAAAATGGTCAAGCAATCAACTTCACAATTTTTGGACCACATGAGATGGACTGACCCACATGTATCCATGCCCTAATATAAACAAACATACTCCAGACATGAAATATGGGGAAAATGAAGTTTATTTTAGCTGTAAGGACTATTAAAGACTCAGTGTGCAGCACTTAAGAACTGTAGATGCAGATCTCACAACCTTGAGCTGCAATCCATTTCACACTACAGCAGACTTTTCTATTCACAGCTGTCTGGTTTCAGCAGTGGCCCGCACTTCAGTGGACTCAGGGCTTACAAAAATGGAAAAACACATTTTAAAGAACCTTCAAAGGTCACACATATTCTTACATTGCTCAAGGTTGTAGTAAACCAACAATTCTAGCGCTACGTTTTAATGCTTAAATAACTGACATGAACAACCTAGAAATTTATAAACCAGTACCACAAAGGAAAAGTCATTCACAACATAAGAAGTTTCATGCATAGATAAAACGCCGTGGAACACATTCAGGAAGAGAAAGCTATTCTTGCAAGCGAGAGACATGTTTGTGCAACAAAGCATTGGATATTAAGCTGACAGTATGCACTTGTGCAAAATTACTTCTAATTTCTTTACCCATAATTCCCTGTGAACTGGCCAAAGTACCAGATATTGTGAGGCACAAAAGATATAATCAACTGAAACAGAAATGAAGCAAGTAAGACTGACGACACATCTGAAATCAATCTAGACATGCAGTTGATGCTGTAATGAAGTGTAAATATACATCAAGCACAGAAAGGTTCTAATGACGTAACCCAAAACACAAGGAAGTCAGATTTGTAACATTTCATGAACAGGTTTAATAAATGAAAATAAAATAAGTACGGAACAACGCAGGTTTGTTGTATGCAGAAAGCTATCTAAAAATAATTTGCGTCCAGTTCCTTTATAATTGCACTCAAAAAGATCAGCAAGTTTGCCTGTGATTGGACTAATGGACTGAATTAAGGATGGGCGATATAATGGACTCAGCCCATTAAATGGATGAGCACACAGACCCGAACAATCTAGAGACGCTGTTAAGAGGCCACATCGAGCTATGAATAAAGTGGCAGATGTGCAGTACATACAGCGTGGAGTCGCAAAGCTATTAATCACCATATAAAAGTAATGTTTCGTTACAAACAACCTGTCGTTGAACTGGTTCAGCCTTCAGAATCACACAGTATTTCATTGAAAATCCCTGTCAATCAATGATTGCTGGGGTGCTCAGTTTTCTGTATGTGTGTCTTCAGGTTTGTAGATGGCAGATGTTGTTTATCGCTGTGGCTGTAGATTCTAGTGTTTTACTCGTCCACTTCTCCTGCTGGTGTGCTACGTATAAATCGTTTTTGGGAAAATTAAAAGTACATTTTGAAGTGAGCAAAAAACTTCCACTGGTGGACAGAAAGAGGTGCTAGTACATTTAGGGTGCTCTTCAATCGCTCATGGGGCGTTGTTGGTGGTCGAATCCTCAGTGAAAGATTTGGGTACTGGATGGTCAGCATGTCAACAACCTGTGACAGGAACACAGAAGTGGTTAATCATTGCAGTATGAGAAAAGCTTGATATTTGTGCGTTCTACTGGTAACAGTTCATCCAAAAATTTAAATTCTGACATAATTTAGCCTATACTCACCCTAATGTTGAGCTATGCTGGAGAGAATGGATTGAAGTCAATATTGATTCAAATCTTGGACAGTTTGTCACAAAGTTATCGTATAACTTCATAATAGGGCTGGGCAATAAATGATATCATATCGAGATTGCTATAAAATTTATGTCGATAAGCTTTGGACATTTTTACTTGATATGGATTAATCTAACAGCCTATCACACAGCAGAAATAAACGTGACAACAGCCACATTCAGCATGTCTCCGTGTGAATGAGTGCTGTACTTTCATCTGCTCCACAAACTCAAACATGTGTGACATGAACTTCATCTCCAGAGCTGCTCTGAGAGTCACTTCACCAGCTTTACACTGTAAACTACCACCAAATACACACTGAGATCTTCATGACAACCCGCCAAAATAAACGTTCGGCCTAACTTATAACCGGATTATATTACTACTGTTACTACTAAATTATAACAGGTTACAAGTTACAAGTTTGTTCAAATCCTTGACACCAAGTATGATAGTAAAAGTGATACCTGATTTTGCAAACTTTATTAATATGCAGTAGTGCACCAATTTTCAGCAACCAAAAATATTTGTTTGAAAATTTATTTTGGGTTTCGGCCGAGGCAGTTTTGGAGGGTCAAAAACACTGACCAAAAAGGTGACATTTAATTAGCACTTCTCTGATGGTACATTTTGACTGTGTCAGTGTCTATTTGTACACACTAGGGATGTCCCAAGCCGATCTCAAGGATCGGGATCGGGACCAATTAAGTTTTTTTTTTAACTAATCAGTATGGGCTCTCCTAAGCCCGATCCTTATTTTACATCAGCTGTCATGCAGGTGTCGTGCAGTCAGTATTATAACTTTAATGTTCTTGATGTGTGAACCAAACACTAGGAAAATACAAGTTTTGGATTGTGTGGAGGGGACTGACAATATCAGTTTTGATTGGATCTTAATTTTGATGAACCCAGATCTTTTATTCAATGCTGTCTTCAGTTGATGCATGAACCAAACTTTACTAAACATTATTTGTAGCACGTCTGCCATCCAGTAATCACAATAAGCTTTGTAACTTTTACTATGAAACAAAATCTGAGCTTTCAAATGGTCTGTCAGTTTTTCTAATGAAACTAAAACAATAAATGTTCACAATTTGGTTTTTAGCTAAATTAAATTTCAGTTTTGGTTAAAATTCATTTCGGTGCATCACTACATACGGGTCGGATAGATTTATACAACGCATTTCTTGCATAATTAGATGACAGGAAAGCCTTTCCCTTATGACAACAGCACAAACAAAACAAGAAAACAACAGGTTCTGTGGGCAGAAACAGCTACTTACCCAAAATACACTTTTCCCAGGACTTCAGCTCCTTTGTTTAACTCCTTTCTTGCTTTCGTCAGCTGTCTGCTGTGGCTCATTCTGCTCCCATATGTCGTTCTGTTCCTCCTCGCTCTCTTTGACCTCTCCGTCACCTTTCCCATCATCCCCCTCTGCCGAAGCTTCACTCTGGCGTACACTGACAGAGATGACCAGCGCTTGCACGATACCGTAGATCAACGCAAACGGCAGCAGGTACTCCTGTACCACCCACAGCAGTCCGGCCATCCCAACAGACGACACCAGAAACATGGCCATCCCATGGAGCCACAGCTTCAGGGCCCCCTGCACCCCCATCACGTCCAAAATGAACTTGGTCGGAGGGGATACGGTGGTCAGGAAGCCCACCACAAACAAGTCAAAGAGGTGGCGGAGGAAATTAAAGCAAATATCGTAGTGCTCAGGCACGATTTTCCCCGTCCATGAGCGAGAGAAGAACTGGAATGCTGATGTCTGCTGGGACAGCGGTGTGGGGGACGGAGGGGGCGTCCCGTAGTCTGATTCCCCGTCGACTTCATCGCTGTCCCACGTCCCTTCATTCCACCCGGCACATTTCCGCTGGCTTAACGCAGTGGACGATGACCACCTGGGCCAGAAAAAGTATCTGGATGGAAGCATACGGCTCCACCAGCGTGAGGACCTTTGGGCCGCTGCTTTCTCAATCTCAATATCAGCCCTCAGCTCTTCAATGTCCAAAGGCTTGATAGTCTCCTCAGTCTCCCAGAATTCCTCTGCGATTGTCTTTTGGTCCTTTTTAGTGTTCTCGCCCCTCCAAACCCAGGCAGTAAGTCCCCATAAGCCCCATCTGCTTTCAGTCTGATTGTCCGTTGTTGGGGGTTTCTCAGGTTTGGCCTTACTGCCCCAGGACAAGTACAGATTTGCTGGACTGACCCACCCCCAAACTCGCCCTACAACTGCGGTCATGTCGGCACTATTACTTTATAATGCACAAAGGAGGAAATTAAAATGCTATAACATTAATAAAGTGTCTGTGTGGGGCAAAAGCTCATATAATTGATAATTACACATTAATAACTATAGTATAAAGCAATAATAAGCACAGCCACCTCTTCATCTAATGGTATAGCTATTTAAAAAATCAGAAAACGACGTTGAGTGTCCCTTTATTACGACATATAAAGTTGTACACCGCTACAAGTATAAGAAGGCATCTAAACAATGAGACCTCAACATACCTGTATTAAGGCGTGTTTGTATTAAAGCAAATGAACCAGAAAACAACTGACGGCCACACCCGTGCAAATCACTCAATGACAGGAAAATAATATAATTTTTATTAAAAATTAAAAGCGAAAACAAAACAAAAAATACTGTGGTAATGGGGTTTCGTTTATTTTTGAGCTCTAAAGGCATTTTCCTCAGGCGAAACGGCGTCGGTTAGCATGTCTGAACAAGCCGAGCGACTCTGAAACTTTAAACGCTAAACTGTGTCGATGTCGACCGGCGAAACACTAGCGACCGGAGAATCAAACATACCTGCGACCCCAAATCTTCAGTTCTATATGACTGCAGTAAGGACACGCAATTACATCTTCCAGACTTCACTTGCAAAAACATTTGAGTTCACTTATCGAAGCCAGCTTCACATTCCTGTCCATTAGCACCCGGCACATACGTGCTCGAAATTAAACCGTTTCAGCACGTAAACAGCTCGACAAAGTGCGAAAATGCAGTCCAGTTTAATTTCAACAGATTCACGGAGTTTTGACAGTAACTTAAGTCTCTGCTGTGTACGAGCTGGTTTGCTCGTCTAGTAATGCTTGTCTAGGGAAGTCCGGCTCATTTCGGCGAATCGGTTCTTTCAAACGGTTCATTTGAAAGAACTGGTTCAACCAATCAATTCAGTGAATTCTTTTAACTCGTGCTGCCTGATATCCCGGCGTGGCATATTATTTGCTCGAAAATGTCCCAATAAAGCCGTATAATAATTAAAGCCATATAATAAAGCCACGTATTGCTGTTCCTTACGAGTATTTCGTTACGAATCATACATGTATGAGAGACTAGCTGGAATAGATGCCGTTTACTTTTTATTATATTTATGCACTTAGCTGACGCTTTTTATGCCAAGCGACAAGCAATTCGCCACAGAGCCAACAAAATTCATAGTGTACAATGCCAGGTTTAGCTAGAAAGCTTTAAAATAGTAAGCAAAGTATGCTAATATGTCATACCGAATTCGGAATACCACACAACGTTTACCTCATATAGTAAAATAAATACGCTAATATATATGCTAAGGTTCAGAATTTAACCAGTCTCTTTCAATTTGTTCTCGGTTCAATGAGTTGGAGTTGTTGACTCGACAACAAATTCATTGAAAAGATTCGACTCAAAAGGACGATTCGTTCACAAATCGGGCGTCGCTACGCACTGCTATGTGCAGAACAGAAGCGGTTACATTAGCATCGCTGACCCGATGACCTTCGCTCTGCAGATTTGTGACAGTCCGTGTAAACTATTAAAATGTATATATTTCCAAAGCGTGGGTTTTATTTTGTTACAACAACAGGTAGGCTAGCAGTAAAAAAAATATGTATAAGCGTGTACCGAAATTGAGTTAAATAGAGTGAAGTCAAATATGACAATAGCCGCCAAGTAACTGAACTCTTTCCATAATAAAAGTCCTTAGCGATTCCTAATAAACAGCAGCTGAAGAGAGGAATGGCATGTCGAATTCATCAAGTCCACCTGTGTGATACATTGTACACGAATACTTCAAAAGACCCATAAATAAAAATTAGAGCCTATACTGACTGATTCTTAATCTTCAAATATATTTTAAAAATTTAGATAGCATATCAGAATTTCATGAATAACCCATTTCATAAACACAAAGTTCTATGCACTACATTTTTTAATATAAATCATGTATAGGGTGTAAATCAGCTACATGGCATGAAAGCTATGCACTTTTAAAATGACTCCCAAAAGCATTTGCACTAATATTTGACCGTATCTAACAACATGAATAAGATTAAGGCATAAAACTACAAGATAGCCCCGCTACTCCCATAAAAAAAATAAATAAAAAAAACAATGACTTCATATTGAACTGTAATAGTAATTTTTATTAAATGTAAAAGAAAACTGTACATTTTTAGAAAAAGCAGCATACAAAGAACTGAGAAGTCAAAAACAAGCAGTTACTTTCTCAAACTGTCCTTGGAATGACATACAATGACATTGAAACACAAGTGTATAAGTTACAATAACTACAGAGGAGCTTTAGTTCACCATTGTGCTGCAAACCGGGCACCACAACTCTTCTGCCACTGCATCAACTTCTGTCCTTGAAAGAAAACGCGTGTATTAGATTACAAAGGGGGAAAATAAGTGTATTAGTTGCCTGTCAGTGTTTCAGTGCGCCGCGAGAAAGTTACTTCATTGAGTTTCAGTGGAACCGAACAACGCATTCATCATTAACACCCAATTACAACCA